TATTTTATTCATTTCATTTTCTCAGCCAACTCTTTAATAATTGAATATGCTTTATGGCCATTATCCACTCTATTTAGAATTTTGAGCTCAAATTTTGACAATAAACACAACAAATTCCAGAAATTAGCATCTTAGGTATTTGCAGAACATTCAGTATCAGTATATTTCGGTGAACTAGTGCACTCAATTTTAGCTTTTCACAATAATGCAATAGAATTTTTCTATTTTTTCCACATATGGGACGACTTTAACAATTTTTATTGTAACATTTGGGTGACTCTTTCTTTTGAATACACTAGTTGAATTCTCTTAGTTATTCAGGCATTTATTCATTCAACAAACATATGAGTGTCTTTCAAATGTAATACAATGTTCTAAGTACTGGGGAAAAATGACTGTGGCCAGTATTCTCTCATGAGGCTCATATTCAGGAGGCCAGTAAAGGGCTCTTAGCAGAGAAGTGAAAGAATCAGGTTCCCTTTTGCCGACCCGTCTGGCTGCAGAAAGGACTGTTACATTGACAAGGAGGGAGTGGAGTTGAGCAAGACAAAGGACACGCCTACTCTGGACGTATAACAGAGAAGTCCACTAGACTGGAGGCATGTAAAGGGCAAGCAAATAAAGAATGAGATGTTTTCTGATAGTAGTAGCTCTATGAACAGAAAACCAAGCCAGCCATGAGTTAGTTAGGTAGGTAGGTGGGCACCATCCTTGAAGAAAGGCATCTCTGAGCAGGGACGTGTGAGGAGAATCACAGCTAATAAGAAGGAACCGGCAGGTGGGAATCGAGGGGAAGGGCCTTCCAGGCAGAGGGAACAGGAACAGCTAGTCGGACTGCTTACAGCAAGGCTGACGGAGAGGCCAGTTCCTGTGCAGCAGTGAAAGGGGGCTGGGCACGAGGTGACATCAGAGTGTTAGGCAGGGATGACAGCAGGGTGATGTGACTTACAGGCCCTAGTCATGACCCAGGAGGTCAGTGCAAATGTAGCTTGAAGCAGCTGCAGAACCCTAAGCTATAGGTGGCATGAGCATATTGTATTTTATATTTTGAAAGTGAACTGCTGTGTGGAGAACACATGGTGGTGGGAGCGGGTCACGTGCCTATCAGGGACCGGATAGGAGTGATTACGACATCGTCTGTGGGATGTGCCCAGCAGCTGAAGGCAGGGCGGGGGCGGGGGCGGGGGGGTAACTGATTTAAGGTCTGTTTTGAAGATAAGTTCCACAATGTTCGCTCAGAAGTGGGCATGCAAAAGACGAAGAGGGGAGTCAGGAATGGCAGCTGGTTTCACACCGAGTGGCTGGTGGGGGTGCTATTAACCCTCTTCGGGAAAGCTGGAGGGCAGCACTGCGGTGAAAGGCGAGAGGGAGGCTGGGACGGTCAGAGAGCCAGGGCACCTGCCCATCCCAGTAACGTCAATCAGTCCTCTTACGCTTAGGCGGCCCTCACTTCTGCAGAGCCCTGCAAGGCGAGGTTGCTGTGGAAGAACCGCCGCTTTCCTGGAACTCCACTGGAGTTTCAAGACACGAATTTTAGGCCAGGCGAAAAGAGACCTCATCCCTCTGAATATGTGAGTGGGATTAAGAAAGGTACTTAATCCACTCTGTATTTATATTCTGGGGCTACGATGACAGTTCCTTTGGGGGGTATCTTCAAGCCCTAGACAAATAGGGTGCTTTACTGATGCATCAATTCTGCTTGAAGATTTCAAAGACTTGGGAGGTGAAGTTTAGACACTTCACCATTTATTAATTATGAAGTAGAACTAAACATTGCCATGCGTTTTCCTAGATAAAACATGAGATTACAAAAGCAGGCTTCTAAGGGTCTTTAGGTTATGCTTTAAGGACAATGGGGTCCACGAACGGATTTTCCTCAGAGGAGGGAAGAACCAGGTCCCCTTTAGCTGACCCTTCTGGCTGCAGGTCTGAGAAAGGACTGTTACAGGAAGAAGATGGTGAAGTGGGGTCGAGCGAAATGAAGGAGGCCCCTAGCCTGAACTGTTGTGCACATCAAAGTGTACACACGAGGAGCGCGACGGACAGGTCAGCAGATCTACGGGCGGCTGATTAGCTGGGCAGGGAGGCCCGGGCAAAGGAAGGCGAGACTTAAATATTAAGCCTCAGTTTCCTGTCTCTGGCCTCTGGTGTTGCCATTTGCCGAGACAGGCAACAAGGAAAGTTACATGGATTAGGGCAAGAGATAGGCTTTAGTGCGGGGCGTCTGGGGCATGGGGCATCGGGAGACGTCCGCTCTGGTGCTCAGGAGAAAGTCTAGGCTGCAGGTGGAAGGTGGCAGTCATCTGCATTGAATGGTCATTGAAACCGTGGAGGCATGACTTAGAATCTGCAGGGTGAGCAGAGAACAGGGTCCATGAAAGAACCTGGAAAAGACACATGTGTTAGAAACAAGAAGAGGAAACTAGTTTACAAAAGATTCAAGAGGCATAAGATGCCAAGAACACCAGGAGTACACGAGGCCCCAGGAGAGAACACATCCGGAGAGGGTAAGATCAACTGCGCACACGTCTTCCAGCGAAAATATGCAAAGGACTGCGAATCACTCATGGGATTCAGCAGCGCCAGATCGCGGTGGTCTTGTCAAAGACGGCACGGCAGGGGGGACACAGGCCGGTTAAAGTAGGTAGAGATACGAGAGGAAAGGAAGCAGAAATGGTGTGTCACTGATTTAGATTTTGTTTCAAAGTATCCTTAACACAGTAGCATTATCTTACCGAGATGGAGTTCTGATCTGGTGGCTCCTTGTGAATGAGTCACTGCAAAGCAAAAAAAATCAGCAAATATGTATCTCATCTCTACTATGACAGGCATTGTGAGGGATTAAAAAATAGTGAAATACAGCCCAGCCCTTGAAATATGTACAATAAACTGGAGGAACTTGCGTAATGAAAATAGGATAACAAAAACAGTATTATCATGTGGGTTCTGTATGAGAAGACGGACCTGGGGAAGTTCTGCACCACGTGAGGCAAGAACAACTCAGGGGAAACTAAGTACTCCTCAGTGGAGGCCAAACATTCAAGAAAGGAGAAGACTAGAAATCCTCTGTACTTCTGCCCAGGACCGGCTTAACCTCCCCTCGCGGCACCGTGCTCCGAGGGCCAGCGGCGGGCGCTGTAGAACAGAGGTGAGGCTGCATTCACACGGCCTTCAGGAGTGACCTCCAGCCTGCAGCCAGACCGGCCCAGGGGGCGGGGGCCGAATGGACGCCTCCCTTCAACCTGTACGATTTAGGCTACAGGAGGGGCCACATTCAGGAATCACCATGAAGGCTCCTGATATTTCCTTGGCCGAAATGGGATTTTTAAAGCCATTTCGGAAAGGGTCCACGACTTGTCCTGCTACCTGCTACTTGAGCTCTGAGCCGGCCGTCAGACTCCGTACGTCCCAGACGTGTGCTGGGAGAGAGCATTCCTTCCACAACATGGGAGCTTCTGTTGTTGCAAGGGTCTGCAGAGGGCTCCGGGTGGGGGGTGGGGGGGGCAAAGGGCCCCACAGCTGCCCCTCCAATACCTACTTACAGTCAGTGAGGGTCACTTCATGGAATGATCTGGGTCTGAGTCAAGCACAGTCACAGGCCTAAAGGGTATACTTTACATTTATGCTCAGATATTCAAATATGTCATACCAGAAAGAAAAAAGAAACCCATATTCCGCACTGGGATAAGAATCCATGTGGTGTGTAACATGCATGAGAGCTATTTGAATTGTGTTACCATTCACCAATTACAGAACTGGGTGGTGGAAGCCTCATTCTCTCCCCTGCGAAATGGGGATAGCAGAACAACTAACTCATTAATAGTCATAAGGATTGAGGAGATGAGGGGAGGGGCTCTGTGCATCACCAGCACACACAGTAGGGAGGTACTTGTGAATGCCAGCCATCATAGTGTGGGAAGGCAGCATGCCTGGTGGGAAGAGTGGGCGTGAAGTCAGTCAAGTATGGGTTCAAACCAAGCATGCAAAGTATCTGATTCTGTTTGGTTTGGTGCAACAATTAAATGGGCACGACTGGCACCTAGTAGGTACACAGAATGAGCCAACTGCTGACTTCCCCGTTCTGCTCTTTTGCATAACTCTGCATCAGTGCAAAGGAATCAAGCGTTACCCTTTGTCAGAGCCTGCCGTCCTCAACTTTAACACTGGGAATATGGGATTAGATGGTCTCTAAATCTTTACAGAGGCACCAGAGATTTTTGGAAATCAGGTGAAAAAAATAATCTGAAAAACTGAACAACTGAAAAACACCTTCTGGCGGCTAGGTCTATGGAAATGTCGCATTACCGAAAGAGGCAGGTTAGAGAATGATGGGAAGGCCTGTATGTACTTCACCTGCATCCCTGCCCAGTTGAAGGCTGTTCTTTGATTTCTTTGACATTGTTGCCTTTTAATCTTTTCCAAAGTTATGTTTCCCCCCCTGCATTCTCCAAAACCTAACAGCTATTCAAAAAAGTGAATTCTGTGTCTGGTGTCACTAAATGAACAATTTAGCCTATTTGCTTACGACTGCAAGAAAGCTGCTGTACATATCACAATAAAGTCTGAAAATTCATCACAGGAACAAAAATTAGTTTGTGCTTCAAAACGTGACTGAGGTTCTCAAAGGAATGAGATGATGATTTACTTTCTGTCACCTCCAAAGTTCGCTTGGGGAAAACAAACAAACAGACAAACCTTTTCCCGACAGGCGAACAGGCATTTCCCTGGGCAGGGGGACGGAAGGGAGAGAGACCTCTGGGAAGGGCCGAGCCTCCGGTCTCCTCCCACCAGCCTGTGCCGGGTGACTTCAGTCCCTCTCTTAACTCATTCTGTCACTGTAAAATCCTACAGTCATTCTTCCACACATAGAGGACAAATAAGCTCAAGAGGAGGGTCCAGATGCTTTCAGTTTTAACTCTTCACCAATGGTGGAAAAGGCAGGATGCCTGGCTGCGTCTCGGGGCCAATCGGAGGCCTGTGTGTCTCCCACATGACCCGCTGCCCCTGTCTTTCACATGGGCTGTAATTTAGTTCAATTCAGAACTGCAGAATAGTACAGCTTGCACGGGAGCAAGGGATGCCTGAGCACAAGCGGGAGTTCCGGGTGACTTTCCGAAGCGCTTTCCTGCCTTCCCCCTTCGTGGGGACGGGGACTCTGCACCTGCATCAAGGACAGTCCGGCCACAGCCGCTGCTGTGCCTCCGGAGACAGGGAACTAGCACAAATGACCATTTTGAAATTGTGAGTATATATTTCTTTCCATCCAATGTGCTGATGAAAATAGTTTTATGTCATACACATCGAATACTTGAAGATTTGTAGGGTGCTTCTTTATATGTGCATCGAAGGGCCTTCGGCCGGCAGGAAAATATTTCAGGGACAATTGTTGCATGTTTTATGATGTTCAAGATCAAGAATTAGAAATAACAGTCAGGCGTTCCAAAGAGTAGCTGCAGGAGGCGGCACCCCGGAACACTGCCCCAGGCACTGCTTTGTTCGTAAGGAAAAATGAAGGCACACATAGGTACTTAGCTCACTTCTTCTCGCTCTTTGTGTCTAATCAGATTTGATCTGTCCCCAAGAAAAATAAAAGACAAACTTTGCTGACCCCACTGACAAGGGTACCATCGACTTCCCAGACATCTGACAGTTATCATAATTCGCTGGGAAACACTGCTCAGACACGGGGGCAAACAGCTTTTAAATTCTGAACAATGGCTTCAAGCCAGGGCTTCCTTTTTATTTATTTTTTAACCACCACTTTGCATTTCATAATAATAATAGAGACCGACGTGGCTTCAAGGTTTTAGTGCACAAAATGTGAAATGAACTCCTAGCAGAAGTGAAAGGGGACTGACAGTGGCCAGTGTACAGATAGAAGGAAAAGACAGCTTTCTCTATCAGGGTCCACCTTCCATGTAGAAAGATTTTTTTTTTTTTTTAATTCCTAATAGGGTGGGGTGAGGACGTGGGGGTGGGGAGGAAGCTTGCGGAAGCGTCTCTGAAGAAGAATGCTTGAGGAATAAAACAATTCAGGATTTCTTCCGATTAGCAGGCAGGAGATATGTTTAGCGTCTGAGTTACATACATGGCAAGATTTTTTGACGGAGTTTCAAACAGAAGCAACATACAAAGCATTTTTTTTTTATTTATAAAATAACTGGAAACAAATGGGGGAGAATAATCCTATAGTATTCTTTTTACCTTCAGCTAGGGTAACCGAGCAGCGCATTATGCCTTTACTTCTAGAATCTTCCAAATCCTTAAAAAGTTATAAGCTGAGTCTCATAAGAAATTAAAAAGCAAATCAAATTGATGTGATCCTGACTGATGAAGAGCTCGAACAACAAAACCTCCAACAAAAAGAGTTTGGAAGAAAACACTGCCCTCCTCATTTTTAAAAGAGAATATTAACTCCATCAATTATTGAAAGGAATTATTCAGAGGCTCCAGACCTAACTAATTACGGCTTAAAGAGATCTGCCGGTGCAGCGCCTGTGTTCTAATTATGAAAGTCCAAGACGCTAAGATTCATTTTTTTAAAGAGGACTTGGACGCATATTTTCACATAATCTTTTTAAAATACAGCGTTTTTTTTTCTTTGTCTGCTCTCCTGTTATCTGCACCTCCCCCGCCGCCGCCCACTGAGCGCCGAGACACCTGAAGGCTGGACGTAATGAGCACCGGAGCCCCAGCCTGTCTGGACGCCAGCCAGGTGCTCCCCCCCTGCGACCCGGCAGCTTGTGCACGCGGTGCATGCGGAGCTTACTCCAGTCTCTGCAGATCCGGGATGCAAGCCTTACGCACACTGCGGAAAGATTAAAGACAACAATATCCCCTTTCTCTTACCCCAGACAGCCTCGAGTTTTAACCCTTTCATTCCTACTAAAACTAAGACGTTTTGCCCGTTCAAAGGCAGGTCTCGAGGGACTGTGCAGCAACCGCACCATATTCTACAGACACACACGCCTCAATTGGTACAGAAATCTGCCGATGCACGCATCGGGGTACCGGAGCGCTAACAGTGTGCCGACTAGACAGAACGCTGCTTGTGTGGGAAATGCATTTTTGAATGGACTTAAGCTGTGAAATCTGGAAGAAGTCAAAGGTCTGTGGAAAGATTCTTGCAGAAGGTGGTATGATTTCTGACGGCGCTGTTCTCTAAGCGCCTCTCCCACTCTCTCTCTCTCTCACACACACACACACACACACACACACACACACACGCACACACACACACACACATACTCAAGAGACATGCTCAGCCAGGCAATTATAGCATTATATCTCAGGGAAACCCAGGTTACTGGTGATGTCATCACATATAAAATTTTGCCTTTAAGGGTGGCATTTACAGTCGCCCCCCTCTCCAGTGTCTTTGGGCGGGTGCCCACAGGAAGTTCACATGTTTGTGGGATTAACCGGCATCCACGGGAAAGGACCATTTTATCTGTAGCCATCTCTTTCTTGCAGATGTGTTTACGGGGCAGTGTGGGCAGCTTACCAAGATATGTGGAGTCAGGCAGTTCCCTGGTTCTAGGAAGCCTTATTCACATGCTGGCTGAGCATTTCAGAGGTGGCTGAATGATATGGATAGGGTACAGAAATGGTCAGCATTCTGAAATCATTTGGGTACAAATGCTACAATACTGATATATGTTATGACTTGGTAATTCTTATTTGCCATTTACATTTTTGCAACCATTAAATCATGTTTATGATTCACTGATGGCTTAAGGAAAGAATACATACAAATGATTTAAAAGTAATGCTCCTTTGATGTGCTCTGGGTTAGATGAAAGTTGGGTTGAAATTCTGAGGGCTGATACAGTATGTGTATTGATTTCCAAGTGTATTTTATGGGTCTTACACTAAGCAGTTATCCACCAAACAAGTGTTCAGGTGTTTAAGAATGTGTATTTCTAAGTACTTTATTTTATTTCGCAACTCAAATAGAACAAAGTTTAATAATTTTACCAAAACTTATTGCCCTATCTGAGATATAAATATAGAGCAACTGTGTATAAGTAATGTCTCTTAATTACCAAGTTTCGATAAGTAATTTAAATTAATCTTCATGAATGTAGAATGGCTTACCAGTTCTTACATACCAAGTATTTGATACATTGTTTTTCCTAAATTTGGAATTTTCTCGTAATACTTTTCTCTTGCACATTAAAAAAAGGGTTCATTTTGAAAGGATTTGGAAAACATGTGTATGAACAGCATGATTTATACACCAACACACAAATTAATGAGCCCATTTTGCCCATGGATTGTGTGATTATTTTTTAAAAAGTGAAAAAGCATTTTGTTCATTTTTTGCTTCCATGTTACTATTGTTGAGAGAAGTATATAGTTTAAAGAATGGACAGATTTTGTACTTAGAAAAGAAAAACAATCTATACAATTTAGGTGACATGCTATGGGAAAAGATGCCATGGTAAACTAATAAACAACTTTTTTGAGGAATTCCTGGGCCTAGCTTGATAATTTTTACATGAATAGTTCTTCTAATAGATAGTAGAGTTCTTGCCCCAGGATGAACTATATAATTGTTTTATCAAAGATAAAAACATGAACAAATAGTTGGATTTAAATTTCATCTACTTTCTAAAAACAAAACATGACATTGCCCATTGGGGATACAGGTTACTAAAAAGGCATCTTTCAAAGAAAAGATAATGGACTTGATTGAAATAATTGAACTACGTAATGCCAATTGAAGAACAAATGGTTTTTCAGAGCATAACAGAGAAAGAACAATTTACTATAGTACAGTTTATTCTTCTGACACAATAGTAATGATTTATTTGGAATGGCAGAACAAACAGTAAATATACAAAACAACCAATAATATCTTTGTCAGGGATGTATCAAGATTCTTGTGTTTCATATATTAATATTCTTAATTCAATTATTTATCTTTAGTGAAAACCTACACTCTTGCTTAGCATATATGTTGATATTATAACCATGTGTTTTTGTACATGTGTATAGTATATACAGTATACATTTAGCATATTTGAATAGAGTGGTGGCTAAAGATAATTGTTGGTCTTGTATTATAACTCGTTCTTTATATACCCTTAAGTTAGAATATTTCAATTAGAATATTATCATATTTTAATGTGATGAAACTTGGATGGTGGTGTCCCCTATCTGTATCTATGCTAGCAGAAGGACATGCTGAGATATTGGCTAAATATAATGTATTGATGATATAATTATACAAATGGCTCATATCAAAAAATATTTTAATCATACCTAAAGCTATGACCCTAATTTGACAAACAATATAAAATGTCATTTAAACCCAAATTCTTTCTTACCACTCTGAAGATGATTTCCAACAGGACACTCACAGTTTTTCTTTATGAAAAGAAAGACTGGGTATTTTCTAAACCTAGCCTTTAGAGTTAGGGCCTGAAATGGTTTTGAGTAGATGCCTAAGCACCGTGCAGGGACTGCACAGGAACCCCAAGTCACAGTGAAAAAAGGAGGGAAATTGGTTTGCTTTGCTTCGTGTCTCAAATTTTATTCTTCCCACCCTACATGCAGACAACACTCAAAATTAATTTGAGTGAAAACTATCCAAGTTATTTTCACAATTCTTAAACGTTCTGCGGTCCTGAAGGAAGTGTTGTGAGTGATTGAATGTCCGCTGCCTGAAACTCAGTCCTGCTCAGGGAGGCCCGGGGTCGGAGGCACTCAGGAATCACAAATAGGAAATGAACTGTGTGTTGCATATTTGGAGGGTTGAAAAGAAACATTAGGGATATTTTACCATAAACAGACTTGGGGTTGATTTTCGGCACATCTTTTTCAACATCAAGCCTGCAGTTCAGCAGAAATAACTTTGATTTGTATAGGGAAGGCCAGATGACCACATGCTCCTTTCTTATTTAGACGAGAATTTTCCCTTCCGTGACAGCTTTCTTCCTGACCTGCTGAAAAATTCCAGCGAATGAAATCAGCACAGGACTCTCAGTTCTGATTGACCGTGTGCAGAGGAAGGGCCAGTGGGGAAACCAGTGGGGGACTGTGAGGCTCTCCACCTCAGTTTTCTTTGTTTTTCCCTTACCAGCCAATCCAAACGAATTGAAAACACTTCATTTTTATTAATATTAATACTGCTGCAAGACGAATTCTCAATGCACATGATTTGAGGTGGCTCTTTGTGCCATTTCACCACAAGTAATTAAACACAAAAGTTATCGTGCACTTCCACCATCTCTCAA